CTTAATGATTGCTATCGGGATGTGAAGAGACTTTCAACCAGCATAACAAAAAATATTTCTGAAGACAATCACCTAATGCACCTTTAAACTGTACATAATTTTCTATTTTTTATAAATATTAAAATATTGTAAATATCATAAATTATTTTTGTTTATCATATAAATGAATAAACATATAAATAAAAAGTATAAATAAAAATGTGTATATATATTTGGCTCTGGTCCCTGAGGGCTTCTGGCATGCCTCTAAGTCTGTCTATGGACATACCGAAAGCTCCGGGGACATTTCTCAGGGTAACAAGACAAAACTCTGTCCTTTCTTTGTCACTTCAACAGCTTCTGAAACTGCACTGTCATCTATACAAAATTGAATGTGAGTCTGGTAACAAGAATAACCACCCAATTCATTCACTGCAGAGCTCATCTCTGCTCCTGACAGCTTACTTGGATCTCTGGGCCACCTGTCACTCAAATCGATGGAGTTAATTAAGTCACGATGCTTTTGAGAATGTTTCATGCCAGAAGAAGCGGGCAAGATCTGCCTGGCTGAACCGATTATGAACTTTTATGTTTGTCTCAAGATTCTAGATTTGTATAACTGTCTGTGCAGCCTTGAGGCCATGGAGTGTAGAGGTCTAACAGCTGTATGCTGTGTGTGGGAAATTACATGCCGCCATATTATTTTAGAGATCAACAATACTTTTTACGACGGTACTGATACTTTTTTTGTCTGTTTGATGATTTTTTATTGTTTTATTTTTCGCTTTTTGACAAAATAATTGTTAGATTATAGAACAAAAATTAAAGGGGTGGTTCATTGCGATTTCACTTTTTTAATGTTAGTTATTGTGTAATGTTGCTGTTTGAGCATAATATCTGCAAAGTTACGAAGCTGAAAGTTCAATGCAAACGGAGATATCGTCTTTTAAAATTCTGGCAGTTTAATGCCTACAAAAACGGCTGGTAGGGACTACAATGATCTACTTCCCGGGTTCGTGATGTCACAAACCCAGATAAATCCCGCCCTCGGGAAAAGTCAGCAAAGGGGAGCTGCGCTTCTTTAGAGAAGAGGAAGAGAAAACTAGAGGTGCAAGTAAAAATCTATTCATATATGAATCGTGATTCTGTCTTCTAATGATTCTAATGGATTCACAAGTTTCAAAATGAGTGTTCAAAAGCAGCGGTTCTTAATACTGTTCCTCACGTCCCCCTGCTCTGCACGTGCTCTGCATTTCTCTCTCTCTCTCTCTCTCTCATTCAGCTCAGCTCCAACAATGAACTGTTCCAATTATACATTTATTTTCCCATAGCTATGAGAAGCATTAAACATGGACCAAGTGTTTTGAGATTTGGCTCACTTTTAATTTGAGAGTATGAATTTGAATTGAATTAGTCACATCTAACGAGAAGATAAATTGTTAATTGAATTGGAATGATGGGTGAAGTTGACTCCTATGATTATTTAAACTTTTTTGTCATTCTTATAGTTATCATCCTTGGTATGAACTGGCCTTAACTACAGTGACTGAATAAGAAAGAGTAAGCAACTGGATCTAAAACCTTCAGAATATTGCTCTGTATGATGGGCATATTGCACTGTATGATGTAATTGTATAAAATTTGAACTGCATGATGTGAACTGTATGAAGTTTGGTTATAGAATTTGGTGTCACTTTTATTTATAATTACACTTTTGTAAATGTAACTGTATTTAGAAGTCTATAACAGGACTGGAACTGTATTCTGCTGCTGTGTGAAGAAGATATATAGACAGTCAGCAGGGAAGCAGCTCTCTAGCTGTTTCTTTTTTTGAGGTAAAATCTCAAAAAAGCAAAATCCTTGTAGTCTTTCATAAAGTTTCAGAGTCTTGCTTTTGAATGCTAGAGTGAAAGAGGAGAAATAGCTTGAGATAATTGGCTGTCCTGTCAGAGCCTGCTCTGTCCTCGCAGCCTAGGGCTGACCGGATTAGAGCCCATGTTTCATCTGCGCACCAGCCTTCTGAGCAGCACTGCCAAGAGCCTCTCATTTTACCACACTAACTTTCCATGTTGAACCCCTCATATGTAGTCACCAGAGTCGAGCTGCAGAAGCAGGCTTGAATCATCTACAAGTCCTTGCCTCACCAGGCCACATAACAAGAGCCTGAGCCAGACACCAGCGTCTGGCAGGCCGAGTCCCCCTCCTGGAGCTCTGCCCGTGTTCCCATCTGTCTGTGGCTCCAGCGTTACCGCCACAGTTATTGCTGCTCATTTATGTGCGGTCTCAACAGTTACAGCACACAACAATAAATTTGATGACAAGAATAACTTCCCATTTTGAGTGATCCTCACTGTTGACCTCAAAGGATCCCATGCTATTTTTCTTGCATGTGTGTAACCTGTGACATCTAAATAGCTACAGTATAAAATAAAATAAAGCTACTGTAACCTTCATAGTCACCTGCTGCCGCAGATGGAAGACTTGAACTTCATATAGTGAGGGCTATACATAGCATGTCATTAGACTTTGTTAGTGTAGGTGACCTTTAACACCAGCTGCTTGTCATACTTATAATGTTGTAAGTATAAACAGTAATGCAGTGTATACTTGGTTCAAAATGAACTTTTTTTGTCCATGAGTATTTTTTTTTTCATTATTTTTATTGTATATTTATATGAAAGTGAACGCATTTACAATAGTATATTACAATATAAAATTAAATATGAATAAATTAAAGGTGCAGTAGGACATCTTGGAAAATGTTAACTTTAGCCTCTCTGGTATAAATACATGTAAATAAATGTAGACCACTTAACTTAATGATTGCTATCGGGATGTGAAGAGACTTTCAACCAGCATAACAAAAAATATTTCTGAAGACAATCACCTAATGCACCTTTAAACTGTACATAATTTTCTATTTTTTATAAATATTAAAATATTGTAAATATCATAAATTATTTTTGTTTATCATATAAATGAATAAACATATAAATAAAAAGTATAAATAAAAATGTGTATATATATTTGGCTCTGGTCCCTGAGGGCTTCTGGCATGCCTCTAAGTCTGTCTATGGACATACCGAAAGCTCCGGGGACATTTCTCAGGGTAACAAGACAAAACTCTGTCCTTTCTTTGTCACTTCAACAGCTTCTGAAACTGCACTGTCATCTATACAAAATTGAATGTGAGTCTGGTAACAAGAATAACCACCCAATTCATTCACTGCAGAGCTCATCTCTGCTCCTGACAGCTTACTTGGATCTCTGGGCCACCTGTCACTCAAATCGATGGAGTTAATTAAGTCACGATGCTTTTGAGAATGTTTCATGCCAGAAGAAGCGGGCAAGATCTGCCTGGCTGAACCGATTATGAACTTTTATGTTTGTCTCAAGATTCTAGATTTGTATAACTGTCTGTGCAGCCTTGAGGCCATGGAGTGTAGAGGTCTAACAGCTGTATGCTGTGTGTGGGAAATTACATGCCGCCATATTATTTTAGAGATCAACAATACTTTTTACGACGGTACTGATACTTTTTTTGTCTGTTTGATGATTTTTTATTGTTTTATTTTTCGCTTTTTGACAAAATAATTGTTAGATTATAGAACAAAAATTAAAGGGGTGGTTCATTGCGATTTCACTTTTTTAATGTTAGTTATTGTGTAATGTTGCTGTTTGAGCATAATATCTGCAAAGTTACGAAGCTGAAAGTTCAATGCAAACGGAGATATCGTCTTTTAAAATTCTGGCAGTTTAATGCCTACAAAAACGGCTGGTAGGGACTACAATGATCTACTTCCCGGGTTCGTGATGTCACAAACCCAGATAAATCCCGCCCTCGGGAAAAGTCAGCAAAGGGGAGCTGCGCTTCTTTAGAGAAGAGGAAGAGAAAACTAGAGGTGCAAGTAAAAATCTATTCATATATGAATCGTGATTCTGTCTTCTAATGATTCTAATGGATTCACAAGTTTCAAAATGAGTGTTCAAAAGCAGCGGTTCTTAATACTGTTCCTCACGTCCCCCTGCTCTGCACGTGCTCTGCATTTCTCTCTCTCTCTCTCTCTCTCATTCAGCTCAGCTCCAACAATGAACTGTTCCAATTATACATTTATTTTCCATAGCTATGAGAAGCGTTAAACATGGACACGCGTGCAGTTGCCGTACTGTATTAAAGCTTTAATCAGGATAAAACCGTAAATTAAAAGCTAACATAAGCAGTAGCATTTACAAATAACAGCATATCAAAAAGTATGAGACTACAATAAATAAAAAACATAGGCCTACCATTAAAAGCTGTGCTTGCACAGGTTCTGCACAATCCTCTTCAATAATATCCTCTGCTTCTCAATCGGGCTCAAACTGATAAGCGATATTAACAATGCCGTTGTTTACAATACAACTGGAGCAAATGCTGCTGAGGTGAGGGGCGGGACGTTCAGACGTACACTAGAGGCGGTTTAGCCAATCACAACAGGCTAGCTAACTAATTTTTAATAACCTATTTCTGAGGGCGGGGCTTCATAAAAACAGGAAAAGATCAGGCCATTTCTCTGAGAAGGGACAGAGTGGTGTGGAATAAAGGTAAATGATGCACATGTTAGACTGCACCCCATAAACACAATCAAGCCTAGAAAAAACCCAGTGAACCACCCCTTTAAAAATGTTTATAAAATATATAAAATCTTTTATATAAACATTTTATTTTATTATATTGTAAAATAATATAATATATAATAATGTATTAATATACAGTATAATCTATATATTAAATGTAAGTATAATATTCTCTGTAATGGGTTTTAAGTTAAATGGCATTTATCTGCAGACCCAATATTAAAGAACCAATGACTAAACATTTTGAATATATTTAAAATTGTATAATATACCATTTATATTCCATATACAAAAGACCATATATTGATATCGCATGTTTATAGACAGATATAGATACATATTGCATGTTTTCATAGTACCAAAATTTTAATCATCTTTCTTTCTTTCTTGTGTTCCAGGAACAGCATTGCAGCCTCTGCCGTTTGTGCATACAACCTCAGCGCTATCATGCAGGCTTTTAACGGGCCCTTTCGCTCCCAGGAGAACCCTCGCTCCACGTGGCTGCCTACCCCAAACCCCATCCCTAACTTCCAGGTGCTTCATTCCCCCTGAATGTCTTTTACGTTTTGTTCTCTGTGTGTGTGTCTGAAACAAACAGCCGGTAGATAAGTTCTATTAGCCTGGCACTGTGAGAGTAATTGCTCAAGACCAGCTGGGTGTACTTGCATGCATCGTAATTCACTGTTATTGTCTACTTTCCTATAAAATTACATGGTGAGAAGTTTGCATTTTTTGGAAAGGTTTTTTGCTAGTTTATATTTGCAATGCCCTGCTTGACCTCTACACTAACTAATGAGTCTAACCCTAATGACACTTAACAGTGTGGGACCATAGAGGAAGAAGGGCCTAATGAAGGACTAACTGAACGCAGTCTGCAGGACGCCCAGCGGCTCTACCTCATGAATGACGTGGTTCAGCCTGTTTCTGTGGACCCGCTGGTTTGGCAGGATGATGTGCGGTTCTCTAAGTTGGTTGTTGACATTGTACAGGGGCAGGATACTTTGCACCACGTCATGTACATAGGCACAGGTAACGAGCCAAAGTCAGACTTAGTCACTTCAGCTTTGTATTTTTCCTTTGCACAAAAGCCTTGTAAGTCGTATGTCTGCAAAACGTTTACCACCAAATCCTTATAGAAATAGTATTAGTTAGCATTCGTTATGCAGCCTTGTGTAATTATGCTTTGCCTTCTGTTCTGACTTATTAGAGTATGGAACTATTCTTAAGGCCCTGGCAACCACAAATAAGAGCCTGCAAGGTTGCTACTTGGAGGAGATGCAGCTCTTCCCTCCTGGTCTGCGCGAGCCAATCCTGAGCCTTCAGATTCTCCATGGCGACAGGACTCTTTTTGTGGGCCTGAATGACAAAGTGATGAAGATCCCTCTGGCGAGATGCTCCAGCCACAAAACAGAATTGTGAGTACCATGTTTCATCTGTACATTTTGTGCAGCACACAGCTTTAACAATCAAGGTCTTCATATGTGACCCTGGACAACAAAACCAAGTCGCTGGGGTATGTTTGTAGCAATAGCCAAAAATACATTGTATGGGTCAAAATTATCGATTTTTCTTTTATGCCAAAAATCATTAGAATATTAAGTAAAGATCATGTTCCATGAAGATATTTTGTAAATCTCCTACCATAAATATATCAAAACTTAATTTTGATTAGTAATATGCATTGCTAAAAATTTAATTTAGATAACTTTAAAGGCGATTTTCTCAATATTTAAATTTTTTTGCACCCTCAGATTCCAGATTTTCAAATAGTTGTATCTCGACCAAATATTGTCCTATCCTAACAAACCATACATCAATGGAAAGCTTATTTATTTAGCTTTTAGATTATTTATAAATCTCAATTTCGAAAAATTGACACTTAAGACTGGTTTTGTGGTCCAGGGTCACATATTTCATCATTTATTTGTCTGAAATTCAGTATGCAGGCAATAGGTTGGGGTGTGTGAAACTACTTATTTTTGCTGAATTGTCTGAACAGCTAGCCGATTAACTAGCCACAAGGATGATTTGAATAATTATTCTGGTTTTAGGTTCATTTTTAAGTTTAGGTTTGATGACCTGATTAGATGCAGTTTTTTAGGGGACACTGACATAAGGTGCGCTCTTGGGTTCAAAAACAGCTAAACAGTGACAGAATGGAACAGATTGCAGGGGTTTTGAAGGTTTGGACTATTTTTAACTTGACACGCTGTCTCAAAGACACTACGCTCACGGTGAAACAGCAAAGATGCAACACACTGGCCCAATACATTGGTCTGAATGTATTTGGCTGTTGCAAAGATGCATTGAAATTGATTAATTGTACCATGAAATATTTAATTGCAAAGCACATTCTCAGCATGCTTTTGATTTACTTTTGATTTATTTTGTTTCGATTTTTTATTTACTTTAAATAATATATACTGTGTGTGTGTGTGTGTGTGTATATATATATATATATATATATATATATATATATATATATATATATATATAGTATATATATATATATATGTCTCTCATAGTTGAGGTATACCTATGATGAAAATTACAGGCCTCTCTCATCTTTTTAAGTGGGAGAACTTGCACAATTGGTGGCTGACTAAATACTTTTTTTCCCCACTGTATATTAAGAATATATAGTTACAGTGCACAGCATAAATGAGTACACCCCCTCTGAATAAATATAAAAGATGTATTTTCTTAATGATCACTAATATAATTAATGTAATTCATGGAAAGATGGCAAAATTTAAACATAGTAAACATATACTTAATAAAAACAACAAAATATATGCCAATATTTCCTGTAAGATAAGTAAATTAGCCAATTTTGTTTAAATGAAGGATTGCAGAAATAAGTACACCCTTGATTTAATTCACAAAATGTATAATATTCTAGTAATTAGTATGTCCTCCAGAACTTAAAGTATACTGCTCTGACATTTCTTGGCACTGAGTGTACAAGTTCATGACAAATTTTCACATCTGTGCTGTTTAACTCCTGGAGGACGACCTCCTTAAATGCCCTGGTCTTTAATAGGGAAGTTTTGCTCAGCTCGTCTCTACAGAATCCCCTACAGCTGCTCAAGAGCGTTAAGATTGAGTGAAATACATGTCCACTGAAGGATTTTCACCTTGGGAGAATTAATATATTCATTGTCATGCTGAAAAAATGCCCAATAATGCAGGGAATGATGGGAGGGTAGCATCTTCTGTTTCAAGTTTTTGTATTACATCACACAGTGGTGTGTGAATTCATGACAGCGTTGATAAAG